TGTAGGGTTTAGGGTTTAAGGTTGGGGTTTTGGGGTTTAAGGTTTGGATTTTGTAGGTTTAGGGTTTTAGGTTTTGGGGTTTAAGGTTTAGGAGTTTAGGGTTTAGGGTTTAGGGTTTAGGGGTTTAAGGTTTAGTGTTTAGGGTTTAGGGCTTAGAGTTTAGGGGTTAGGGGTTTAGGGGATTAAACTTGGAGTTTAGGGGTTTAGGGGTTAGGGTGGATCATCCTTAAGGGCCCTCAAAGGTCTCATAGTTTTAAGGCTTTTGGGCCCAAAGACCCTATTCTATAAGGCTTCTGGGCTATTTTGATGCCAAGGGTAAGGGTTCAATTAAGATTCAGGGTTTAGGGTTACAGGAAACTATAGGGTTGAGGGGTTATAGGGTTGTAGAGCACTCTTTCCTAAAGGAATCTATAGGGCTTAGGGTTGTATAGTCTGGGGCTTCACTCTTCCTTAGCAAGGGTTTAGCACTTCCTTATCTTAGATGGGCTCTTGCTAGGGGTCTTCCTTAATGACCCTGAGGCTCCTACGAATGATCTATTTTGAGTTGAGACTACGTTTTAGGGTCTATTTTAGGACTTAGGGTTTACTTCGAGTTTCGGGTGTACTTACCGTCTAGGGACTCTGCACGGTCTAAATTTGATGTCGGATTGGGCATATAGGTCCGGGGCTTCAGCTCGCCGCTCAGGAAAAGAGCAAAGTAGGCTCGGCTAAACACTTGCGGCAGAAACAGCGTCAGCACTGACTTGTCGAGCCCAGAAGGTGCCATCGTCAACGAATGACACAGCTGTCACACGCTGAGTGCACACATGTTTGCTCCGAGTGAGCAGGAACATTGCAGCAAGCATGGGCTAGCAGGGCATGCCTGCAACAGTCCTCGCCCCGCATGATGCCAATCATCAGTCAAGAGGCTCTGGGCCGACAACATTCGCCTTCCCTGCCCATAGGACGATTCTAAGTATCCGATGAGCTCTGCAGGCGCCTTAAGCCAAGACATGACTCTGCGCAGCAGGCGTCGATCAACGGTGTCGAAGAACTTGGAGAGGTCCTGACAAACGAAGGCCGAGTCATAGGCTTTTTCCGAGTGCATGATGATGTGAGCATCAGCGACACTGCCACCCGGAACACCACCAAGAACAGTGCAATCGAGCCATTGAAGCATCCAGCTCCCGAGGGAGCGGACGATGACGCGCATGCCACAACGCCAAGCCACCGAAGCG